CGAGTTCCAGGACAGCCAGGGCTGTTACATTTATTTCCCACCAAATAAGCCAAATCTATGAGAGGTCCAAAGCACAAACCACTCTCGGGCAATCCTACTTGGTAGGAAGCAAAACTATACCTACAGTTAAAGCTAGCCCTGGCTGTGTGTGTGTGTGTGCCCCAAATCCAACACCAGCTGGGGAGAGGGGTAGAGACAGCAGGATCCTGAAACTCTCTGGTTGGTCATCCTAGCATATGGGTTGCAGCAAGGGCCAGAGGAAGACACTGGAAAACCCACAAAGCACTCATCCAACATTCGAACACAAAAAGAGACACAAAGAGACACATAAAGTTGTTTAATTAGGTTGTCAGCAATTTAGAAAACCAGTTTGTGAGGATACATCCCGTTTGTCAGACAGAACTGAGAGCGCAGGTAGCCCTGCAGCTGAGGAACAGCTTTGATCTTTGGCAGAATCTGCGAGTCCACTGCTTTCTGATCAGCCTTGCGCTGCTCTGTAATCTCATATTTCTAAACAGAGAAAAGGAAATATTTAAAACCATCACTTCCCTAGAAAAAGACCTACTTGTCAAGAACTGATAAAGCAAATCATACCCTCCCAGAGGGGCTCATCTACTCTGAGAGTAGACTAAGGACAACTGAGGTCACATTTACCATCTAGAACAATCTCAAGTCAGAATGTTACTTCCTCACCTCCTTCTCTGTGTCAAAAATCTCGCCCTCCTGATGCCTGGGCTTACGCAGCTGCTTTTTCTTGAAGTAAGCATCAGTCAGGTGTTTGGGGATTTTAACTGTGCTGATATCAACTTTTGTAGAGGTGGCGATGACAAACTTCTGATGTGTTCTTCTCAAAGGAACTCTGTTGAGGGCAAGAGGTCCTGGGGAAAAATTTTAAATCAAAGTCTGAAAAATAAGAATTAACACTCAGCCGGGCGATGGTGGCACATGCCTCGGGAGGCAGAGGCAGGCGGATCTGAGTTCGAGGCCAGCCTGGTCTACAAGAGCTAGTTCCAGGACAGACTCCAAAGCCACAGAGAAACCCAGTCTCAAACCCCCCCCCCCAAAGAATTAACACTCAATAATCAAGATTTAGCATAGTGACACATGTCTTTAACTTCAGGACAAAGGAAGACAGACAGACCTCTTGAGTTTAAGGCTAGACTGGTCTACATAGTGAGACCCTGTGTCAAACAACAAAAAAAAGTTAACTGGGGTCTGAGAGCAGAGACCTGAGATGATTCAATGGTTAAATGTAATGGCCACTCTTGCTAAAGACCCTTAAATTCCCAGCACATACAGAGGGCCCACAACTTCCTAATTTGAAAGTTTTACCTGCTCCAAAATCTGTCTATCCAGGGCCTTTTTCTCACCACCCAGCAACCATTAATTTTCTATCTGTCTACAAACTCCTCATGCAAGTGTGCAAGGCTACAGAATATCATGGGGAAAATGTTACCTTGCTATTAAAACTTGCAGCACTTAAAATCTGTATGTCATATTACTGCTGCTCTACTCGGCATACTCTGCATAGAGTGCATTTGAATGTGCCATACTACAGCAGAACTTGCACAGATCCCCTTTCTCCTTATATTATGTAGGTCCAGGAATCAAACTCAAGCTTTTTTTTTTTTTTTGGAGCCTGTCCTGGAACTAGCTCTGTAGACCAAGGCTGGTCTCGAACTCACAAGGATCCGCCTGCCTCTGCCTTAAAGTGCTGGAATTAAAGTCGTGTGCCACCATCGCCCAGCTAAATTGTTTATCTTAATACAAACTCAAGCTCTTAAGCAAACACATTTATTGCCCACTAAGCCACTGTGACAGGCAAATATATTCTTGCTCTAATTAAGCCTGATTGCTGTAGAAAAATAAACTGTAGCTGGTGAGATGATAGCAAGACCCGAAGGCCTTGGTTGTCTCTGACCGTCACATGGGCTATGTGTACCTCTCGCCACAAAAATCTAAGTGTGTGTGTGTCTCAGTTCCACAGCAGGAAACCTGAAGCGGGGGAGTGCTGTAAGTTTACAGCTTGATTCTGGAGCAAGCGTGTCTCAAGTCAACAACAGTGATTGGTACCTAGAAATCTCAACTCTTAGGAAGCAGGATTAGGACAAGGCCATCCTGGGCTCTATGACATCCTGTTAGAAACAAATATACTAAAGATTTTCTTACCTGTCACAAGCAGCAAACCACTGCCCAGTTGCTTCAGGAAAACCACTCTCTGGATATCAAACAGAAAATGACATTTAGCAATTGTATCCTGACTTCTAACCCAACATAAAATTGTTACTGTAATTTTGCTACTGTTATGAACTGTTAAATATCTGATAATCAGATGGTCTTAAAGTGACCCCAAAGAGGTCAAGACCCACAGGTTGAGAACCACTGGTCTAAAGGCAGGCACGAAGTGCACACACATAACCTGGCACTCAGAATGTAGAAGGAGAATCATGGGTTACAGGAAGTCTTGTCCAAGTTTTTAGAAAAAAAAAAAAAAAAAAAACCCAAAACCACCACCAAAAGGCAATTTCTAAATTCTATATACACATAGTGCAGCTAGTCTCTTAAACAAGCAAGTCACATACATAAGCCACAACACCAAACACAGCATATTTAAATATTAATGGGAAAATGATCCAGCCTCCAAAGGACACTGCTTACCTTGCCCCTGTGGCGCCCGGTAAGGATGATGAGGACAGTCCCAGGAGTGATGCTGGCACGCAGGCGTCTCACGTGCTGACTGAAGGGCTTTTTGCCATGGCTCAGCAGCTTCCGAGGCACATCTTCGGTAGGATAATATCTGGGCTGAAGAGAGTGCATGCACCACACTTAAGAAAGCTGTTCAGCTAAGAACTGAGACAGCCTCTGGGTAAACCCCAGAAACAACCAGGAAAGGAAATCTCCTAATCCAGGGATGATAGCCCCTCTAAACCCCCCTTTAGTCCCTCCTAAATACTGGGATTAAAGGTGTGCCCTGCTACACCTGGCTTACTTTAACCAGAGCCAGTTCTCCAATCCCTCAAACTTGGTTTTTCTTTCTTTTTTGGTTTCTCCGTAGCTTTGCTGCCTGTCCTGGAACTAGCTCTTGTAGACCAGGCTGGCCTGGAACTCAGAGTTCACCTGCCTCCCCTCCCTAGTGCTGGGATTCAAGGCAAAAAGACACCACTCCTGGCAAGATAAGGTTTCCTAGACAGCCTTGGCTGTCCTTGAACTCAGATTCCTCTGCCTCCAGGTGGCTGGGATTAAAGGCCTACAGGCCACAGCCTGGCTCCAAATTCTAATGTGATTCTTCAAAATGTGTCAGCAGGGACGTGAGGGGTGGGAGGGCCCAGGCTGAGACCCCTTCTCAAAACACAGTGTGTTGTCTCATTAAGGTAAAGTATGTTTGGCATACTTTAACTCTTTCCTCATCAGCCTCCCAGCAGTAGAAACACAACTTTCACCCATTTACCCACAGAGGACAAAAAAAAAAAAAAAAAAAAAAACAAAAACGACACAAAAGTAGTCACTGGTACAAGTTAGATAAATTAACTCACACAATTCCCACTTTGCAGTGCTGGCAATGGAAAAGCCAGAACTTTGGGTGTGCTCTACTCACACTGAGCTACATCCCAGCCTAACAACTCATTCCTAAGTACACCAAGCCGCTTTCAGTCGAGTCTCAACCCCAGGCACGAGGAAGCAACACAACCCAGTATTTAAGAGCCCAGAATCATTTCTCCTCAGGCCATCTGGCCCAAAAAAATCCAACATCTCCACACATTCAAATTTAAACTCACTGCCTACCTCCTCCAGATCTTACCATTTTTCGAAGCTTAACCACCCGGGTACCACCATTCTTGTCACCACCAACTGGTTTTGTGACAGTGGCAAGGACCTTTTCCTTTTTCTTCTTCTTTTCAACCTTGGTTTTCGCAGCTGTGTATTTCCTTTTGTACATGGCCTTTCTGGAATACGTAGCAGATCGGGAGTACCTGCCAATTCCTCTAACAAGGACTGGATTTCGGCTGCAATGGGGCTTCCCTTTCTTGAGCTTTTTAGCCTTAGGGTCACCCTTTTTGGCTGCACCAGCGGCAGGGGCATCACCGCCAGCCTTCTTGGCTGCAGGTTTCTTCTCTTTTGTATCAGGTTTCTCGCCTTTTTCACCCGCCATCTTGTTATATAAAGAAAAAATAATGGCATTTCATCAACCGTCTATAACAAGTCAATACCAAAGCCAATCCTCTGCTGCCTGCAACAGGTCTCCCACCCATATCTGGGAACATTAAGGTTTTTGTTTTGCTCAAAACTTAGCAAACTTATTCTCCCAAGTCTACACAGCAAGGAAGCCGCTGCTTTCAAGCCTGTTTTCTCTTTTTCCCTTCTTACTGTGCGACCCACTTCAGTGCCAGTAGCCTACAGGCAGAGGCCAGGCAATGGTTCGGGGCCGCAGCTTGCTCTAGCATGGGACACTATGACAGGCCCAGGGAAACGGGCCTGCCATAAATCCAAATCCATGCACCTACTCCTAACTTTTAAAACCACTCTCTCTGGGGCCGCCCTCGGCTCCTGGTGCCACTACGTTCCCAACTCGACCAAAAGGCAACAAGCGGCACCCTCCGGACTTCCGGAGGAGCCGGGGAAGCCTTTTCTCGCTTCAGCCGTAAAAGCCAACGTGGACGAGGCGAGCTCTGCGGAGAGTTCTGGAACCCCGACACCGGCTTAGAGGGCGCACGCCACCGTCCAGGTCCTCTAAGACTCCCCAGGCTACGGCAGCCGGCAAGGCCCGGCGGCCGTCTCGGGCGCTACGCTCGCTCTTCGGCCTTTTCCAACCCACGCCGACAGAAATGACGCTCCCGAGAGACCTGGTGAGTGACCTCGACCATAGCGACCCCTGGGCGGCGGCCCTCGGATGGCCCCTGCCTTCGGATGGACCAGGATAGGGGTCCTGAGAGCGGCTCTCGCACAGAGAGCCGCCATTCCTACCTTGCAAGATGGGAAAGAGAACTAAGGTCCCGGCTTCCGGTCTATAAGCAATGACGGGAGGCGTCCAAAATCACTTCCTTCCTGTGTGGGACATCACGGGAAATGTAGTTTTTCGTATACCATGACCGCTGCGACGTGTTCTGACTAGGGAAGCATTTTCCTTAAGCGGCACAGGCGGATGAGAGGCTCAGCAGGTAAATACGTTTTCTACCAAATTATGATGAGAGTTTGAGCCTCGATCCTGTAAAGTAGAGAACGGACTTTACAGAGCTGTCCTCTGATCTACATGAACGCACACATATAAAATGATAATAAAAAAATAAAATTTCAAATTAATAAAAGAGTTTTTGTCATATTTAAAGTTAACCTAAGCTAATATTCTTTGAAAAATAAACAATAGAGTATATGTGATGTTTCTTTTTTTATTATTGCATTTTTATTTATTTTATGTGTATGTTTATTTTTTTAAAAGATTTATTTATTTATTTATTTATTTATTTATTTATTTATTATGTATACAACATTCTGCCTCCATGTAAGCTCACATGCCAGAAGAGGGCGCCAGACCTCATTACAGATGGTTGTGACCTCTGGAAGAGCAGCCAGTGCTCTTAACCACTGAGCCATCTCTCCAGCCCTTATGAGCATCTTTATGTGAGTATGTTTGTAAGTAAGTATGTGGGGTGGATGCATGCCAACATCACATAGGTGAAGGTCAGAGAACACCTTGGGGGAGTCAGCGCTCTCCTTCTAACACATGAGTCCTAGGGACCCGACTTAGGTCATCACGTCGGCCCCACACAAAACAGTTCTTTTCCACTTCACAGTGCTTAGATCAACAAGTACACATTGCTTGTGATACTTCTTGACTTACCGCCGTCTATTTGTCTGTTGCCTGTTGCTAGAAGTAGGAACTTTTCGCTCGGATAGTTATGTGTTTGTGTGCACAAGTGTGTGTATGTGTGTGCATGTGGAGGTCAGAGGACCACAGACAGGAATCAATTCTGTAATTCCACCCTGTGGGTCCCAGGGATGGAACTCAGAGCTTTGTGACAAGCACCTTTACCCACTGAGTCATGTCCTTGGCCCTTCACTGTGATTTCTTCTGCTCCTAACTATCTGCTTCCTGATTGAGTGTCCAGGACTCTCTTAGGCTTTCTCTGGTTCTGGCTAACTGAGGTGGACATGATAGTGATGTGGTGCTCCTCAAGACAGGACCGCAGAGGAGAACCGTGAAGGGTAGATACCTTAGAACAGGAGCCAACTGATTCTCCCTTTCCCTCAAGACAGGACCGCAGAGGACCATGAAGGATAGATACCTTAGAACAGGAGCCAACTGATTCTCCCTTTCTCCCCTGACCATGTTTTGTTTTTTTTCAAAACAGCGTCTGTGTAAACCAGGCGGGCTCTAATGCACAGAGATCTGCCTGCCTCTACCTGTCAAGTACTGGGATCAAAGGCGTGCAGTACCACGCCCGGCTCCAATCTAATTATCAATGATTGTATTTTATGGCAATTGAGGGTCATTTGCTGTCCAGGTACAGTCTCAAGGAGAAGCTTTGACACTTCTCTCTCTCTCTTTTGAGAATGGGAATGTTAGCACCTTTTTTTTTAAATTTTTTAATTTTTATTTATTTATTTATTAAAGATTTCTGCCTCCCCCAACGAAGTCCCCCTCCCTCATCAGCCCGAAGAGCAATTGGGGTTCCCTGCCCTGTGGGAAGTCCAAGGACCACCCACCTCCATCCAGGTCTAGTAAGGTGTTAGCACCTTTTTTAAAATTCCATTATTTCGCTAGTTAGTTAGTGTGTGCGTGTGTGTGCATGTATGTGATTATGCACGTGTATGCAGATGCATGTGAGGTGTGCAGGGAACCATGCACGAATGTTTGGAGGCCAGAAGAGTGAGTGCCCAGCCCTAGCACTCTCTGCCTTGTTTGCTTGAGATAGGATCCCTTTCTGATCTTGAAGCTCATTATTTTTTAGAGGTGGTTGGTTAGGAGGCCAGGAAGCTCCAGGGATCCACGTGTGGTATTTGAATGCTGAGGATCCAAACTCAGGGCCTCATTCTTGCTCTTGTCCACTAAAACCTCTTCTCAGCCACTCAGCATCTGTATTTGTTCATTTTCTGGAGGGAAGTACTTCTCAGCAACTGTTGCTACAGAAAATGTCATGGCGGAGTACGGAGTTGCTCACTTGAGCTCCTCTGAAGCTTGGGACAACAGGCTCAGTAAGTGACCCATGCTAGAACAGTTGTCTAGTGTCTCAAGGTCTGCAGTTCCTTTCTCCCTCACACAGAAAAGGACGGAGGATGGGAGGGAGGGGGGAGGAGGGAGGGAGAAAAGAAGGAAAAGTCTGATAATGTCAGAGTCTCTCTCTCATCTTGTGAAGTACCAGACCCGATAAATGATCTGATACTGAAGTAAAAGCATAACTGAGCTCCCTCTTGTGTTTGGTTGTAGTATTGAGAAACATACAACTACAAGGTTAAAAATTATTAAATTCCTTTCTAACTTTTTGAGACAGGATCTTACTGTGTACCCTGGCTGCCTCAGATTCTTCTATGGGAACCAGACTGGCGTCAAACACCCAAATACACTCCTGCCTCTGTCACCTAAATGTTGGAATTAAACATGTGAACCATCATGAGCAGTATGTGTTTTTTTGTTTTATTTTGTAAAAATTTTCTATTTTGTACGTGGCAGTGGCACACGCCTTTAATCCCAGCACTTGGGAGGCAGTGGCAGGTGAGTTTGAGGCCAGCCTGGTCTACAAGAGCTAGTTCCAGTACAGGTTCCAAAGCTACAGAAAAACCTTGTCTAGAAAAACAAACAAACAAAAAATTGTTTATTTTATCATGTGTGTAACCATTCCAAATAATAGTAATAGTAACGATAATAAATAAAATAGAAAAAAATCTTAATACGTTATACATTTTAGGTGTAGGTGAGAATGTTTGTTTATTATATATTATACATGTTCGGAGTGGATGGAGAATGTGTGTTTATGTAGGTAAAGAGAAAACTATGGCAGAGTATACAACAAACCACTAACACTGGTGGACAGCTGAGCCCAGGGTTGGGAGGCTACTTGGGAGGATTAGGTAGGAGACTCAGAGAGAGGTTCAAGACCAGCCTGGCTACACACTGAGTTCAAGGCCAATCTGGGCAACTTAGTGAGACCTGGTCTCAAAAAATATAAAAGGAAGATGGAAAGTGGTGGCACACACCTTCACCTTCGATCCCAGCAGTCGAGAGGCAGACACAGTTGGATCTCTATGAGTCAGAGACCAGCCCAGTCTACAAAATGAGTTCCAGGATGGTCAGGGTTGCACAGAGAAACCTTGTCTCAGAAAAAAAAAGGAAGAAAGAAATGAATGAATAAAGAAAGAAAGAAAGAAAGAAAGAAAGAAAGAAAGAAAGAAAGAAAGAAGCGGGAGAGATGGCTCAGTGGTTAAAAGCACTGACTGTTCTTCCTGAGGACCCAGGTTCAGTGCCCAGCACCCACATGGCAGCTCAGAACTGTCTGTGACTTCCCGCTTCCTGTTGAAAAACACCAATGCACATAAAATAAAATAAAAAGCCACAGGGGGCTGGAGAGATGGCTCAGTGGTTAAGAGCATTGCCTGCTCTTCCAAAGTTCAATTCCCAGCAACCACGTGGTGGCTCACAACCATCTGTAATGAGGTCTGGCGCCCTCTTCTGGCCTGCAGGCATACAGACAGAACATTGTGTACATAATAAATAAATAAATAAATAAATAAATAAATAAATAAATAAATAAAATAAAAAGCCACAGAGATGCCTATCAAAATCCCAGCAAAATACTTCAAAAATCTTGAAAGAACACTTCATTTGGATAAGCAAAACACCCAGGATAGCCAAAACAATCCTATACAATAAAAGAACTTTTGAAGGCATCACAGTCCCTGACTTCAACCTCTACTACAAAGCTACAGTACTGAACACAGTCTGGTATTGACATAAAAACAGGAGCCGGGCGGTGGTGGCGCACGCCTTTATTCCCAGCACTTGGGAGGCAGAGGAAGGCGGATCTCTGTGAGTTCCAGACCAGCCTGGTCTACAGAGCTAGTTCCAGGACAGGCTCCAAAGCCACAGAGAAACCCTGTCTCGAAAAACAAAACAAAACAAAACAAAAAAAACAGACAGGAGGCTGGGCGGTGGTGGTGCACTCCTTGAATCCCAGCACTCTGGAGGCAGAGGCAGGCGGATCTCTGTGAGTTCGAGGCCAGCCTGGTCTACAAGAGCTAGTTCTGTAAGACTTTAAGACAATCCTGAAGCCATTTTTGACAATTCTGAATCCTCTCAGCCTCTGTGCCATAGTGCTTCCCCTCCTCCCCTGGGAACCAAGGACCTAACAGCAACACTCGCACTTACTCAGTTCCTGAACAATTACCCATGTACGTATGCTTTGGTTCTGTCCCCTGGGAAACGAAGTCAAAATGACCTCTTACCTCATCTGATCTGGCAACAGCTCTCCAGTCAATTATTGGTAATAGACCTTTCGAATAAGCCAATCAGAATAGTCAAAGAACAACCCCCCTTACTTCTGTAGCCCCTTTAAAAGTAGACTGTACCCACTATTCGAGGTCCCTTGGCTTCCCGAATGCTGGGGGACCCTGTCATGAGAGAATTAATAAAATCCTCATGCTTTTGCAACGGCTGTAGTGTGTGAGATGGTCTCTGGGGGCGACTCCTTCTCGGTGTTTGGACGCTAGANAAAAAAAAAAAAAAAAAAAAAGAACAGACAGGAGGATCAGTGGAACCGAATAGAACCACCCGGATATCAATCCACACATCTTTGAACGCCTGATCTTTGACAAGGAAGCAAAAAATATCAAATGGAAAAAAAGAAAGCATATTTAACAAGTGGTGCTGGCATAACTGGATATCAACATGTAGAAGAATGAAAATAGACCCATGTCTATCACCGTGCACAAAACTCAAGTCCAGATGGATCGAAGACCTCAACATAAAGCCTTATAGTAGAGAAAGTGGGAAGTACACTTGAACGCATTGGCACAGGGAACCACTTCATAAATATAATCCCAACAGCACAGACACTGAGAGAAACAATTAATAAATGGGACCTCCTGAAACTGAAAAGCTTCTGTAAAGCAAAGAACACGGTCAACAAAACAAAACGACAGCCTACAGAATGGGAAAAGATCTTCACTAACCCCACATCAGACAGAGGGCTGATCTCCAAAATATACAAAGAATTCAAGAAATTGGACACCCAAAGAACACATAATCCAATAAAAAAAAATGGAGTACAGACCTAAACAGAGAACTCTCAACAAAGGAATCTAAAATAGCTGAAAGACACTTAAGGAAAGGTTCAACATCCTTGGTCATCAGAGATATACAAATCAAAACAACTCTGAGATTCCATTTTACACCTGTAAGAATGGCCAAGATCAAAAACACTGATGACAACTTATGCTGGAGAGGTTGTGGAGAAAAGGGAACACTTCTGCATTGCTGGTGGGAATGCAAGCTGGTACAACCCCTTTGGATGTCAGTGTGGCGATTTCTCAGAAAATTAGGAATCAACCTTCCTCAAGACCCAGTAATACCACTTTTAGGTATATATCCAAAGGATGCTCAATAGTGCCACAAGGACATGTGCTCAACCATGTTCATAGCAGCTTTCCAGAACCTGGAAACAACCTAAATGCCCCTTGACTGAAGAATGAATAAGAAAAATGTGGGCTGGGCGGTGGTGGCACACGCCTTTAATCCCAGCACTCGGGAGGCAGAGGCAGGCAGATCTCTGTGAGTTCGAGGCCAGCATGGTCTATAAGAGCTAGTTCCGGGAGGGGCTCCAAAGCTACAGAGAAACCCTGTCTCGAAAAAAAACAAAAAACAAAAAACAAAAAAAAAAAAAGAGAGAGAAAAATGTGGTACATTTACACGATGGGGTAATACACAGCAGAAAAAAATAACAACAGCTTGAATTTTGCAGGAAAATGGATGGAGCTAGAAAACATTATTTTGGGGGCTGGAGAGATAGCTCGGAGGTTAGGAGCACTGCCTGCTCTTCCAGAGGTCTTGAGGTAAATTCCTAGCAATGACATGGTAGCTCACAACCACCTATAATGAGATCTGGTGCCCTCTTCTGGTCTGGTGGCATACATGCAGACAGAACACTGTATACACAATAAATAAATAAATCTTTGGGGAAAAAAAGCATTATTTTGATTTTTTTCTTTCTTTCTTTTTTTTTTCGAGACAGGGTTTTTCTGTGGCTTTGGAGCCTGTCCTGGCACTCGCTCTGTAGACCAGGCTGGTCTCGAACTCACAGAGATCCGCCTGCCTCTGCCTCCCAAGTGCTGGGAGAAAAAAGCATTATTTTGAGAGAGGTAACCCAGACACAGAAAGACAATTATATGTACTCACTCATAGGTGGTTTTTATTTCTTAATTTTTTCTTATTAATTAATTAATTAATTAAAGATATCTGTCTCTTCCCCACCGCCGCCTCCCCCCCATAGGTGGTTTTTAAACATAAAGCAAAGAAAGCCAGCCTATAAACCACAATCCCTGAGAATTTAGACAACAATGTTGACACTAAGAGAGTTTTACATTGATCTATTTTACATGGTAAGTAGAAAGTATAAAAAGACAAGATCTCCTGAGTAAATTGGGAGCTTGGGGACCTTGGGGGAGGATTACAGGGGGGAAGGGGAGAGACAGGGAGGGGAGCAGACAAAAATTTAGAGCTCAATAAATATCAATTAAAAAAAAAGATGTGGCCCAGATTGGAGGCATGTCTTTGCATTTCTTTTCTTTTCTTTTTTATTTCGAGACAGGGTTTCTCTGTAGTTTTTGGTGCTTGTCCTGGAACTAGCTCTTGTAGACCAGGCTGGCCTCCAACTCAGGGAGATCTGGTCTGCCACTGCCTCCCGAGTACTGGGATTAAAGATGTGCATCTTTGCATTTCAAAGATCCAGATCAGAAGTGGCTCTTCCCAGGTTTAATCTAATTGATCTAATTGAGCAAAAGTTCCTCACGGGTGTACCCATCCATTTTTGAGTTTTAGTTAATTTTAGATATTGTCATGTTGATGACCAAGAATAGCCCTCAAAGACAGTAAGCATTTTAACCTCGGAGCCATCTCCCCAGACCCTGGTTTCCTTTGTTTGTTTTTTAAGACAGGATTTTTTTAAGTAGCCTCAGCTAGGCTGGTGCTTGCTAAATAGCCCAGGCTGGGCTCAGGCTCTCAGCAATCTTCCTCCCTCAGCCCCCAAGTATTGGGATCTCAGGCAGGCACGTTGCACGTCTGTCTTAAAAGAATTTGGCTTAATGCCAGGAAGATCTGATGATTTCAGATAAGAATAAGAATCCAGATAAGAGTCTAACATTAAGCAGCTGAGGCTGACCCGGAAGTTTATATGACATCCACTTTGGCCTCAAGAGCTGCCTGCTTTAGACTCTCCAGGGCTGGGATTTGAAGCATGTATCGTCATTCCCAGTGAATAAACTATCTTTATTTATTTAATCTTATGGCACCTAAGTATATGTGTGATGATGTTTGAGGGTATGTATATATGTTCCTGTTTGTTCATGTGGGGGTTGAAGGCACATGTGTGTTATTGTGTGTGTGTGT